TTTTTTCAGTGACATCGCTAGCTTTCGGCGCACGCCCCGCCCATCGTGGGAGGGCTTACCATGGGTCATGGGTGCTATTTACATTTGTCCCATGCTCTACCCATCCCCACCATGACCCGACCTCTCCAAGTTCTTCTTCAGGTGCTATGAATTTCGTGACAAACAGACAGACGCACACACACACACACACACCACACACACACGCACGGACATAGCCGATTATATATAGTAGGATTACTGTTTTAGTGATTTGGATGATTTGCATATAAGCGAATTCTTCTCGGGAACGTTGGATTCACTTCGAAATTAGGAAAGGCTTACATGGAGGAGACTAACATTATTCTGCTGATGCTGATTTCTTTTCAGCACTAGGGTACTCAGGCTTTTCTTGACTTGTGACTTGGCCGTCTGTGCTTTTTGGTAACTGATCGCGTTGAGCTGTTGGCAGATAGTTCGTGTGTTCTTGGAGGAGGTAACCAAGGAGCAAACCACTGTGTCTATGTCTTCGCAAGTTCTGAAAAAGATTATCGCTCGACTTTGATTTGAATCTTCTTTGAGACCTAGCACTCAGCACTGTTGTGCTTTGGCAGCTAAAATGCTGTTTAGTTTGCAGTGCACCAAAGACTCTCCAATCGCTTCTGAATGAGTACATAAAGATGCGAGTCAGTAAAGCATAATAGGTTCCGCTAGTGTTGCCTGGGACTATCACTTACACCCTTTCAGACTTCTATTCCATGCTTCACCGACAAGTTTCTTTTTACACAAAGCAGGTTTACAGCCACAGTCTCATTCAAGCCCGTTTTCTGTCTCAAGTCAGTTTGGCTGGGGCACACTGCTGAGCGCCTGACGTGATAAAGCAATGCGGAGCGATTAACTTTAATAAATCACGATTGATGGGCAGAATGGTGTAGTGCGCTCACCACTCGCGGGGTCCGGGTTCAAATCCCGGGTCGACTCCCGCCCAGGCCAACCAAGCCTTCTACCCCCCTCCGGGGACGGTGAATTGGTACCAGATTCGTCTGGGAGGATAAAACACTGACTTGTACATCGGCTGGCCACCGCAAGTCATTGTATAGGCCAATCCATAAGCCACTACGATTCTGAATGGAAGTAGAATGCGTGCCGCATCCACAAGAGGGATTGATCAACGGCGAAATTTATCCTTTTTATCCTTTTGCATCACGATTGACACCAATTCCTATCTATTTGAGCATGAAACATCCAAGGATAGGGATAAGAGGAAGAATGGGGGATGGGCTATCAAAAACTGCAACAGAACGAATGTCTGCCGGCGTACCCTGTCGCATGCATCTCACGGGAATTCCTACAGAGCTTGACACCGACATCGTATCCTGTACTATTGACCTCGATGATCATAGTCCTCCTACAACTGAAGCAATCTATCTCTTCTAAAATAACGTGTTTGTCCAGAATACAACAGGGAACGGAACATTTTACCTTTCAACTTTTTGAGTGGAAATTTTTGTTTTCAGTTACACGCGCATTGTTTGCAGCCCGCTTCCCCTCCTCGCTCATAAAGGCAAATGAGGAATGAGTTTGCTAAGGCTGGAATACCCAGTACCTGGAAGTATAGGTAAGGAGAGGTGGAGGTGGTGTAGTGACAAGTGGCGCGCTTACCACTCGCGCGGCGCCGGGTTCAAATCCCGGGTCGACTCCCGCCCAGGCCAACCAAGCCTTCTACCCTCCGGGGACGGTAAATTGGTACCAGATTCGTCTGGGAGGATAAAACACTGACTTGTACATCGGCTGGCCACCGCAAGTCATTGTATAGGCCACATCGCATTCAATAAGCCACTACGATTCTGAATGGAAGTAGAATGCGTGCCGCATCCCACAAAGGGATTGATCAACGGCGAAGACTTTATCCTTTATCCTTTATAGTGGTAAGGAATGAAGTGAAGATGATTTCTTATCTATCTTAACAACTGATATGATCGCCTGTCACCAATAAATCTTTATGAGTTGCTGATGTGAAAGACGAACAATCTTGAAGAAGAGTGACGGCGGCAGTTCCCTTCGTCCCCCTCTCAGTTGTTATGCCTCTCTGTCGCCGATAAGTGTTAGCCCCCATCACATCTCCCATACCACCTGTTGGAACCAAGTTCCTACTTTTACTAGCTCTTACTGCAGTGCCTATAGATCAGACGAAACTTCTGATTCTCCTTATCGAATTTTGTCAGTACTTAAGACTTCTTACTACCTATCAATAGTGTTCCTGCCCCATCCCTACATCATATCCTGGAACCAACGTCACATCGTTACTGGGACCGGCGCTATACGTTTCGCGATCATCCCTTTTTATCAGTAATTATCACTTTCTGTCACTCACCAATGGTATTCCAGTCGGACATACTATATCACTTATCAAAGGCAGTTGGCACGATGGTTTCCTACTTAGCCTAAAATGCTAGTAGGGCGCTGTATAGTGGGGAAATGGCGAAAGAACGGAGTGAAACGGTCAAAATCCTGCGAAGAAAAAGCCTCCGTTCTCAGTGACTTGTAAATCGGACGAGTTTCCCGTAGGCATCTTGCCAATCACCGCTACCGAAGATACGGCTGCATATGTGTACCCATGTATGCATGCAGCATCACGGCCGCTTCATACCAATCCCTTCGCTTCATAATTTGCTTAGCAAATGAATGAATACGAGCGTCAGGAACGGTCGTCCATTTGTGGGCGGGCGGGCGTGGCGGGCGTTTGGGACGTAAAGTTGTGGCTTGATAGGGCCCTTATAAGGGCACCTTCCTCGGGAAACCGCTATGCAGCGCCTGCCCAGGGTCGCGGAATTCTATCCTGCCAGGAGTATTGATCCTAGTCGGGGGATTTATCGTGCCAACTGCCTTTAATTTGAACTCTCTATGGCTAACAAAGAGAAATATGAATTTCTGGTCAAACACACCCACATACACAAACGAACAAACTTAGCGGATTGCATGTAGTAGGATTATAAAAATGCATACTTTGCTTTTGCTTGGTTGAGACAGTGAGTTGGAAGTGTGCTCAATTGCACTGAGCCTCATAGACAGTCGAATTGTTGCAACGAAGGAGAAGATCGTTAGAAGTGCAATGAAAACTGCAACAAAAATGTTAAGGACCTCATGCTGTGCATAGGCTAAATCATAGAACACATTCGAAAAATCGGGGTTAGGATTACGATTTAGTACCGAAATAGATATTTCTCAAAACAAAAACTTCGCTCCCATCGGAAAGAATGTTAATGCAAAACGCTTCGGACTGATTTGTTGGCGGTCTCCACTCGGTTTTTTTCCTTTGGAATTTTAAATTTAAATGAATGCGATTTGAAAAGAGATGGCTCTGATTTAGAAAGTGTCAAATTTGATTGAAACGTGTTGAAATGAATGTGAAAAAGGTATGTATGCCGGTTCAAACCCTTGACCTAACTAACCAATTTTAAAATACTTATCATTCTTCTAAGAACATCCAAGCTTCGTTGGAAAAGAGCATATTTCAACGGTCGAATAATTGTCCATGGTAACTCTACAGGAACCAGAATGAGATGTGTTAACAATCTAGTACTTTGGTATGTCTCCACTAATTAGGGTAACAACCCCCTGCTAACCTTATTCCACTTTTTCCCCATCTCTGGGCTGCTCTGGAAGCGAGTTATGAGTTTTTTCTGCGGTTCCGCCAACTTTCGGCGCATGCCCCGCCCACTGTGGGCGGGCTTCTCATAGGTCAAGTGTGCTCCTTACATCTTGTCCCATGCCCTACCCATCCCCACCTTGACCCGACCTCTCCAATTTGTTCTTCAGGTTGAACCGAATTTTCGGACAGATAAACAAACAAACACAGCATACTTTTTTGTTCTGCTACAGTGCTTGACTAAAGTCTGAATCTTCTCTCATCGGTACGTATGGTCAAAGTAAACTTATGTAGTAGTGAAAGGGAAACCCGAGCAAGTGCACAGTTTGGAGAAGAGTCAGGCATTAACAAAGTATTCTGTCAAGACGAATGATCGCGCAGTATGGCTGCCGATGCAGTGGGACTCAAATTCACGTCGCATACACCTAGGACCTCATGGCAGCCCAAATAGCTATCACGATGATGGGTACGGAACGGTAACGACATCTCTGGAACCGTTTTACAGACTTTTTGTCTGGCTCCGCCCACATCAGAGCAGACCCCGCCCACGACATGTGTGCCCAACTTCTCAACCGGCGACCCTTCGCTGACCTTAATCTTTTTTTCCGGTCTCTGAAGTGCTCTGGAACCGAGCTACAAATTTTGAAATAAGCACACTTTGCTTGAGGGCAAGCTCCGCCCTCTAGGGGCGGGTTTAACCACACCTCAGGCACGCCCAACTCTCGCTTGATGTTGCCTTTACCGACTTTTTTGTGGTATCTAGACTCTCGGGAACCGGGCTACCGGATTTTGTGGGGAGCGCCACCCATCTGGAGTACGCCCCGCCCACTCAGGGTGTGCTCCACAGTTAGTCTGGCAACCCCTTACTAACCTTATTCCACTTTTTCCCCCATCTCTGGGCTGCTTTGGAAGCGAGTTATGAGTTTCTTCTGCGGTCCGCCAACTTTCGCCGCATGCCCCGCCCACTGTGGGCGGATCATGCCCAACTCCACCTTGACCCGACCACCTCCAAGTTGTTCTTCAGGTCGAACCGAATTTCCGACAGACAGACAGACAACAAACAAACAAACAAACGGACGAAGCAAATTATATATAGTGGATGATATTGGCTGATACTTTAGTACCGGCATAAATACAACACAAAGGTTAGCGCGTCAGTCAAAACACAATGTTTTAGCTCTGAAGATCATGACACACCATGTGTGTCACGCGGCCACGGAGAGCAGACAACGTGTGACACACTATGCGTGTCACGCGATCCGGAATGTGTTAAACAGTTTTTTGAATTTACATCACCACCAGCGTCAGTCTTTTGGTTTCCTACCACCGTTTACTCGTCATATTGCCTAAAGGTTCTGTAAAGATCACATAAAGATCACGCTACTTCTATCATAAGTAGGAAAAATGTTGTAATCATTGTTTGTTTCTCTTTGTTCTTACCGCAGATCAACCACTGTCCTTGAGCAGGCTCTACAATGCTACTGTGCAGTAATGCTTGCGACTGATTCCACATTAACGGTAGGTCACGACATTTATGCCTCTTGGTTTGCATGATATCCTAAAATTAATGCGAAGATTCAACCATACGTACCACTTTAAGTTCTATTAGGAATGTTGTGCACATCTGCTAAAATTTGAGTTGCTTTCGATTATGCTTTGGTCTCTTCGACCGGAAATATCGAGAGCGTAATCTTGAGTTTACTCCCCACAGTCTTTCCGTTGCTTCAAGAAGTAGTCACTATACAAATCGGAGGCAGCCGGGGCTGCTGTTGGGCGTCATTTTGCTTCTGAACTCTGTGGTATGCAGACTCCAAACAAATGAAAATCATCTTTGGGAACTTCTGCACTTTCGCTTGTTTCTCTAGTTGTTTCCAGCTGAATTACACGTAGCACCTTAGGGAAATCTGTAGATCATTTTCAAATCTCTGTAGGAGGTATCAGCAGTGATCGGTGCCAGCCAACAAATGTTCCCAGGCGGAAGCGCGCCAGTGGATTGAATTTTGTTTTTAGAGGGAGATTGTCCCATGATCTGACAGCAGTGCTACCCTTCAAAATCTTCTCAAATTGTTTATTATGGAAAGTTAGGTCGAATGATGTCACCGAATGGTTTTTGGATAGTTTCTCTGGATCTTCTAAGATAGATATTAAAAAATGTAACACTCTGGGATGTCTCATCTGGGAGAAATAATTCTATACATAAATGGTGTTTCAGAACAGCAAGAGCCGGCGAAAAGTTGAGAAAGTGAAGACTTACTAGTGCAGTACGTACTCTTTCGCGAAACATGGAACCTTTTTTTGGTGGACTCAATCGTCTAACTTCTTTCGTGAATTTTTCGAGTAGCTTCGCCTTATTCACCGGTATAATCTAAAAGATAGCACATCACATACCAAATAGCATGAAGAGCTGCTTAGAAGCACAGCGCGCAGTAAATCGACTAGGCCTATAGGAAAAACATGTCTAGTTTAGAGGCCTCCGCTCAGGCACAAGTCGTGCCTTTTCCAACGGAAGGTGCAGCTGGAATACTGGTGATTCTGTCAAGGCCTGCAGGTAGTTCGCGCGGCGCGTGTTGAATCATGCGACAAATGGTGCGACTTTTACCGTTTACAAGATTCATCGTTGGGGTGAAAGATTGAAGCTCACACATAGTATTTGCGACCCAGCCTTAATCGTTTTATATCATTATCTTTTAGAGCACTTTTACTTGTGGTTCTAAAAAACTCTCCCGAAACATTACTGCTGACCTGTGAAAATGAGTCCTCAAAGAAGAAAATAATTGTAATTGTTTATTACACAGGTAATCCTGTGTGGTGTCTATAAGAAGGAAAAAACACAAGCAAAAAAAACCAAATAAACAGAAAAACAGCGCTACTAGGACTTAATGCATATGAACAAAACTGCTCTCAAAATTCATGAATGCGTGCGAACAAATCTTTAAAAAGAAACCATAAATCTCAGGAAAGGAAAAGAGTGAATACTCATAAGATGAACGATGCTTGCAATGGTATTATGATGCAAGATCATAGATGGATCAAAAGAGGTATGTAAAGCAAAAGCGTCTAGCCAGATTAACGCTCCCACTTGTATAGCAATATCGATTTCTATGATCGACTATACTTTGACTCGACAATTAGCAGTAGAAGACTAGGCGCCGCTTTTCTGTTAGTAAGGCAGCGTTCATACTTGTAGCGCTACAGCGTAGCGCTACAGCGCCGCTTCGCAACGTACTGCAATTTCCAACGTTAGGATGATTAGAGTTGCTTACAGAGAAAAGTGGGAAGGTTGCTGGAGTTTTCTTGAGAAATTCACGGAAAGGTGAGACTGATACAGCTGTAACTATCTGACCATCCTTGACAGTTACTCCATTAGTCACTATTTTTCTGGTACTGCTTTTAGCGTAACAGTGTCCTTCTGTCCTATTAAGAGCATTTTCTGCAAAAAACACCCAAAGAGTACTCGCGCCACCTAAAAACACGCACGCATGTTTTTTTTACCGGAGACAGAAGAACCATAAAGGAACTTCTTGTTTGCCTTGTGTTAACGCATTGGTGACCAGACAGTGTTCGCGTGCCTGTTGTGGGAGATAAGGCCATTTTTACGCTCCTGGGCCAAAAAAAGTACAAGAAACTGTCAAAAGTTTGTTGGCTGTGAATGCCTTCGAAAACTGGCATGAATCTTTTTCCTGTGATCCAGGCACAGATTGGGGGCAAATTTGAAAGCAGATTTCGCTCCTTAATCCATAAGCGGCATTGTATTCTGTATTCAACCCCCTTCTGTTTCTCATATTTATCTGATAGTGTTTCTCATATTTATCTCTAATCATCCTAACGTTGGAAATTGCAGTACGTTGCGAAGCGGCGCTGTAGCGCTACGCTGTAGCGCGACGCTGTAGCGCGACGCTGTAGCGCGACGCTGTAGCGCGACGCTGTAGCGCGACGCTGTAGCGCGACGCTGTAGCGCGACGCTGTAGCGCGACGCTGTAGCGCGACGCTGTAGCGCTACAAGTATGAACGCTGCCTAAGGCGGCCCAACTGAGCACCATGATTCAGTCGTTGCACCCCCTACCCTACCAGGGCACCGGTTAGCAAATAATATCGGACGGACCAGCTGTTTTCACTCGCAACCTGCACCATAGGGGTGCGTCTTTCCACTTCTTCAGGGTTCTTTCTTCGGTTGTATTAGAAGAATCACTCGCTGGCATACGCGAGATTTTCTTGAGAGCATTGCACTTGTAGATTTCAGAGTTTTTATTTTTCACTTTTTTTCCACTTGATCCACGCCAGTATTCGACTCTCTCGCGGAGTTTCATGATAATCTCATTAGAGCTCCGGTTTTCGTTTTGGATACTTTTTGATATTGTCTCCGCATTGATAGGTGACCAATAGTGCACTTGGATGTATGTCCTGACTGAGAGGAGATCAGTACTACTGTAAAAGGGGGTGGGGGGGGGAGGGGGGGGCAAAAAACACTTCGGCCGAGTCACATATCAGTAAAGTTTTCGCAGCCCAGACAGAAGACGTGGATACGAGTACCAGGGCGGAAGATACCCAAGATGTTCCTCGATAAGCAGGAGCAGGCTCTCGCCCATCACCTTCATGTACACCAAAATATGAAGTCATCTCCAGTCGCAGCCTGACTGGAGAAGACCTTTGGAATTCATGTCACCTCCAAACAGCTGCGAAGTATGGAGTCACCCATGGATAGCTACCTGGAGACCAGTACTCTCGATCTGGAAGACCTCCAACATCGAGCAGCTCCGACAACGTCGCTACGGTCCAGGATATCATCTTCACCGCAGTCGCCAAGGCGCGGGTTGATGGTATGGACCGGAAGTACCTGGAATGGGAAGACCGATATTTTCTTTCGTGGACCCCGGACTGAAGGTGAGCGCTGGCGGTTACATCGAGCAACTCGAGGAGAATATCCTCCCTTCATGTCGTCGCCCGTACCATCTTGGAAACTTTGTACTGCTACAGGATTGGGTGCCACCACATGGAATCGAAGGGCGTTGGAAAAACTCTCGCCTACTTGGAATGGAAGGGCGTTGAGTACCTGAAGAAGACGGAATATCCAAGTGTGTCACCTGACCTAAACCCCCTCAATTACCGGGTTTGGGCGGAGCTCAACAGGGTGGTCTACAGTGGCGGAGAAATCAACGACCTCGCTGAACTCAGGCACCGAATCACGGTCGCGTGGCAGAACATGATAGTGTACAATGTGCTGTTGAATATGATGGTGGAAATGCCCAATCAATATGTATGTGTGTGTATTTGTGTATGTCTGTCTGCGTGTGTGTGTCTATGGAGTCCTTCGACGTGGAAGCTCTTCACACCAACGTAAGTAATGCTTCCGCCATGGAGGCTGTTTCAGAGCTTCTCACTCAGCACGCCGACCTAATCAATACATATGGACTTTCAGCAGGCCAAATTATGGTGCTTCTCCGAGAATGTCTCAATTGTAACATCTTCAGGTGGTCAGGAAAGTATTTCGCGCAGACTAGGGGTCTAGCAATGGGACAACGGCTGGCACCCACTTTGGCCATCATTTTTATGGCCAGAATAGAAATGCCCGTACTGGAACGCCTTCCCATGCTCTACTGCCGCTACATCGACGACTGCTTCATAGTCTGCTCCACGCAAGAGGAGATGGACAAATGTTTTGACATCATGAATGAGCAGTCTGAGTACATAAGACTTACACGCGAAAAGCCGTCTGGTGAGTGGCTTCCCTTCCTGAATGTCCAAGTAAGGTTTCAGGGATGTGACCACTTCACGAAGTGGTATAGAAAGCCAAGCAGTAAAAACATCATCCTCCACTGGCGATCGGCGCACCCTCTCCAAACGAAGCGAGCTGTGGTCAGGAGCATGTTCCGGACCGCAACACAAGTCTGTACAGGAGAGAGGAGAAGAAAGAAGTCCGTGGAAATAGCCCGAAAAATTGCTGAGCTCAATGGTTACAAAGTAAGCACTTCCATAAGGAAGTGCCTGAGGAAATCGGGTCTGGTGAATGCTGTTGCGATAGTGGAGGTCCCTCCCGACAACCTGAAGCGACGTCTCATTCGGAATCGTACGATCGCACCTGTGAAACAGCAAACTGCGTAGTCTGTCCCACTGGCAGACCCGGTGACTGTGCGATCACAGGGGTGGTCTACAAAATTTCATGCCAAAAATGTGGAGACGAATATATAGGTGAGACGGCTAGACCTCTTTTTGTGCGGGTTAGGGAGCATTTGGATGGAAAGGCCAGGTCGCGTACCTCGACAGCCTTGGTTGCCACAGGGTCGAAAGTCATAACGGAGAGGATTTTGAGGTCACGGTCAATATCCTTGCGTATGCAACTCAAACATCCGCGCGCAAAACCCTGGAGGCATTTTGGATTCGGGTCACGAATCCAAAAATGAACCGCAGGGGAGAATGCGTGTCAATTACGCGCGAGCTAACCCCCTATATAAGGTTAACTTTCCTACCGGAACCTGGATGCTATCATGGGCGGCAAACAACCATATCGTCTCGTGATCTCAAAGGTACGGCACTTGGTTTTTCCTATGAATTATGTGATGGGTTGGGGGGTCTCGAAGGTCTCGTAGGGTCGTTTAAATGATAAATTTTCATTTTCACTGCCGGGCTCCGAAGAAGGCAATCGTGCCGAAACGTTAGCCGTTCACTGTGTATACCAACCTCGTGTGAAGTTTGAAAGCAAAAAAAAATATTCAGCCATTACTTACGGCCCAAACCTATGCATACATACCCTTCCACTGTTTTGGCGTTGAATAAGAGCTTCAGAACTGTTTGAGAATCGAATCAGTTGCTTGTTCGAGGTTTCTTTCGCAGCGTAGAGGGTGAAATGGGGACATCAATAGCGGGTGACAAAAAGCGATAACAACTGATAGGGATTGGTAAGGACGTTGCAGTCGTCTTTGCTCGGGATGGTGGAGCTTTAACTAAACCAAATTGCGAAGATTTGGGGAATAAGGGAATTGATGGCGTGTGACAGGTAATCATAACAATCAGTAAGATTAGATAAGAGGCCATCTTCAGTACCTCTTGTCCACTACCACTAATCTACCACTAACACTTACCACTAATCACTAATGTCAATAAGAGCAATAAGAGACAGTCCCTCTTTGAGATTTTACCGTAGTGGCGGCTGAATCAAAATCAGCCGGTTAAATGTTGAAGTGAACTATCTCCGTGCGATGGTGTCGAGCGCGGGGGTAGGGGGGGGAAGGTAGAAAGCGCACTTGAAACGGGAATAGTCGGGAATTCGAAAGCGAGGCTGGCGTTCCCTATATATTATAGTTTACTTCCCTCAATTTACTTCTTTCACTCCCAAAAAAAGGCCAGGCCATGTCACAGAAGGAGGAACGTTGGCGTCAGCCGGCGACTCGTCCGCTAGAAGTGGAAGGGCGGAGACAAGGCGCGTATTTCAGTGTTAGATCGTTTCCTTCAATAACATGGAGACAGATGGCGTAGGGGGAAAACGGAAGGGCTGAGACTAAGGGTTTCCGCACTGTAGCTAGGGCATAAGCTACAAAAACACAAGAAAATATCGGAGGGAAAAAAGAGGGGAAAACTCACTAATGCGCGAATGCGGCGCGGTTTCTTCACGGCGCCGCGGCGGCAGGGCGGAGCGAAAGGCGATGGCCCGCGTCTCCGGCGCTGTGCTCCAATCCAGCAGCCTCTTTTATGTGGAAGGAAGAGGAGGGAAAAGTAGAGAGAGGAAGGGAATTGAACA